CGTCACAACACTCCTTGGGACTTTTCTAATCTTCTGCTAACACACGACTGGGTTCCTTTGGAACCATAAAGAATGGGGACTCAAGCCTCGGACTCGCCGAGTTCCAAGAACACTCGTCGAGTCGATGTTGTCCAAGTCTTATTTTCTCGATTTCTGATGTACAACACTCATCCAAAAGATAGATCTGAGCTTCTAAAATCGATCTAGCACGTAAAGTTACGAACTTTACGTGCGTGCATGGGAGTATAAGCTTTAATGGGCCCAAAAATGGAGTCTAAAGGGGTACATGGCCTATCATGGCCATAAAGCTTGCATCATTATGCCATGCATTCGATTCTAAGACCTAGATCTGAGATATGAATCGATAAAACTGCTTCATCCCTAAGGATTCATGGTTTTTGAGCTCAAAACATCAATTTGGGGACTTTTAAGATCTAACACATAAAAGGGTCAAGTTGAGGACTTGATTACCAGAAAAGGTGCAAAAAGGAAGATAGCTTATGGATCTACTTTGCCCCTTTGAATCTTCAACTTCTCTCTTCTTCTTCTAGCTTCTAGATGCACCAAAAATCCTTCACAAAGGTGAGAAACAATCAAGAACACTTATGGGGAGACTAGGGTTTTGGAAGGAACGTTCTGGGGGTGATGGGGCCTGGTTTGGGGCTATAATGACATTTAAATAGGGTGCAATCCCTAAGATTTATGGTTTTGTCCAAACAGCGCCTACTCATCGAGTCAGTCCCCGACTCGTCGAGTAAGTCACTTAAACTTCCCGCGGATCCCGTCTCAACTCGACGAGTTGGGCCATCAACTCGTCGAGTCCCAGAGAAAATACATAAAATTCATAAATAAAACACATACCAGTAATCTGGTGTTACAGTAAGAGCAGCATATCTCTCATCAAAGGTCTCAATCAGGGTGGTCTTAATAGACCCAAACATCTCCGGTATCTCTGCTCGAATGGCTGCGGCCACCTCCTCGTGGATCATCCTGCGAATCTCCTCGTCACTAGTACCACTGGTACCACTTCCTCCTGGGTTGTGGCGCGTACCCACCATGATGTCTCTGAAACACAACATAAAACCATTAGAGACTCGCTCGAGTATACTCACACTCGATCACTCGCCCCTACTTGCTCCTTAGCATCCTAAGGATTCCTACTTGGGCTGCTTACTGATCCAGTGCTTCTAGTAGTACGGGCCCAATACTACCCTCCACACCACATCAGCACCCACCCCAAGTCCTCCTCCTATGATTCCAGGTTGCAATTACTCTATGCTTCTCTAGACACATGCCACTCTCTAATAGACCTCTCATAAGCTCCTCTCTGCTACCCACTCGCACTCAAACAACTCACGGTAGCAGTAACTCCTAGGATAAGGCATCACAATTCAGGCCACTCTAGTCCTAAGATATGAAATACCTAGCCTACTCTCTACCATGCATAATATCTCATAATTATCTCGTAAATATCCCATAACACATAAAGTAAGGGTATTTTAGGAAATTACCGTTCGGGCGTCGACTAATTGTACACACTGCTCTTTTCCGCTTTTCTCTTAGAAACTCTTACTTGTTTTTAGAAAAATCGTTTTTCTTGAAAATTCTTATCAAATCCTTAGTTTGAGTCCAGACATACCCGAAAGTGCATCCGAATCCCTCAAACCAAGGCTCTGATACCAACTTGTAACGACGTAATTTTTCAAACAAATTTTTCATTTTCAATCACAATAAAACTCAGTTTTATATTCTCAAAATCATAAGTATCTCAGATGTCAACAATTCCACACATATAATATCAAATCCCAGAATCATATAACCATCTCTCGCCAGTGTGTACAATCATGTCGTTGCCTTCCCGCGATCCTCAGAACTACCTGAAACACATAACCCATAACACGGTAAGCACAAAGCTTAGTGAGTTCCCCAAAATACCACATTCAACATGTTAGCCACTCGAGGCTATAACACTGTAAGACCCTCCAGTCTATGTGTCTCAGTGGGACCCTCCAGTCCCACGGTTCGTTGGACCCTCCGGTCCGGTCTGGTTGGGACCCTCCAGTCCCATGGCTCGTTGGGCCCTCCGGTCCGGTCTCAGCCTCGCATAATATATCATCATATATATCACACAAATAAAGCACAACTCAAGTAAGCACATAAGACCCTCTGGTCACACATAAATACCACTCAAGGTAAAGTATAGTGAGAAGACTCACCTTATAAGATAGCTAGTAAAATCTCGTGCTCGAAATCCTCGATCTAGCCTCCGCCTATCACATGGATAATATTTCTAATCAATACTCCCCTCACACTCAATTACACTATTCGTTGATTTCTCTTACACTCTTAGACCTTAAATGGGTAAAAGACCATTTTACCCCTCCCTGACTTTTACTACTCAATTGACCAGACCTTACAGTCAACAGAATTCAAACTCTAGTCAACAGTCCAAAATTGACCAGACTTGCCGAGTGCACTCATGTGACTCGTCGAGTCCTATCGTTCTCAGTAACCTCAGGAAGGTCCAGCTCGTCGAGTTAACCCCTAACTCGTCGAGTTAGAGCGCGATTCAACTCATCGCGACAAACCCTAAGCTACTCGCCGAGTCGGCTCACCAACTCGGCGAGTTTATTAAGACTCAGCTTGCATTCAGACGATTTTAAGGCGAAACACTTCCTCAAACTCCAGATCCACATTCTCGGGGCTCAAATATCACGTAAATTCATAGACTTTACGTCCATGCATGGCATTTTGGGCAAGAAATGCCAAGATCATGCCTTAACAAAGGTTTTTCTCACAAGGACTTCACCAACTCAGAATAAAGCTTGAACCTTTAGATGTTAAGGGTTTCCTACAGTCCAGATCTGGAGTTCAAGCTTCCTCATGAACCCCAAACCTTTCAAGTCCCAAAATATACACAAAAAGGAGCTCTAATCTCCCAAAAATGTCATCTACTTAATCAGAAGGAAAGGTTCGAACTTGATACCTTTAATAGAAGCTCCTGGACAAGTATTAGCAGATCCAATGCCCCTCCTTTACTCCTTGCTTGAAAACTCTCTTCTCCCTTCCACAAATGCACCAAAGATCTCAAAGTTAGCTCTATCTCTCTCACTCTATGAGCTCCAAGGTCGTTTAGGGTTTCTCAGGGAAGTGTGGCCGCCAAAGGGAGGCTATAAGTGTCTTTATATAGGCCACAGGCCCGCTAAATTGGGGTTTCCCTCAACAGTGCTGACTCGGCGAGTCGGCTCACAGACTCGTCGAGTCCATTCATTAATACACGTCACAAGTCACGACCCTACTCGACGAGTTGAGGCGTCAACTCGTCGAGTCTCTCCAAGATTCTCAAATTAAATAATGAAAATAATATACCTGGAAAACCGAATGTTACACGAACAATATTGTGATACGTGTCATAGGGATATGTTACACTTTTATTCAGTTATAACAACCTACTTTGCTAATTCATCACATTTACGGTTAAGATTACTTTGTGTGGTCTGGATACTTTACTTGGTTTTGAGGTTCATCACTCATGTATGTGTACATTCATGTGCATGTTTCATCTCCTATGTATCTTGCATCCAAGGGCCTATTTGTGTGGTGAGGAAACTTTACAAGATTTTTTAGGGATGAAAAAAGTCTACGGAGATACAGGCATACGAGGGATGAATCAAGCCTAGAGGAAGGCATGATGGATGAAACAACCATGTATAGAATAAGTCATAATACTCATATGTAAGCATGCATCATCCCAATTATCCACCACACAAACATCTCCATGAAAATTCAAGAGACATGGGATAAAAGATGTCCAAGAATATGCTAAGTGCATGAGTGATAACTCAAAACCATGAACCCCATGCATAAGATGTAACATGTATATCATTAAATTAACATCTTTAACATCCTTTAAAATGCAATTTCATAAAATAAAATACTACCATCCAAAGGTGTAAAGCATCATAATCACCATAAACACATTATTAAGTCATCATAAAATAACAACCAAAGAAACCAAAATATTAGGTTTTTTTGTGAAGAAAAAAATGGTAGATCTATTGTGAAGAAAAAAAGTGAAACCGGAAGTTCAACTCAAATTGAGAAAGCTCTGATAAAGTCTAATATTTTCGGTCAGTTTACGATTTAATCCCAACTTTTATTTTTTTAAATAGAAAAGTCTCGATTATTTTATATTTTGCTTAAATTAACGAAACAATAATAATTTTTTTTTTCAATAGAAAATTACAGATTATCATATAAAATTAGATAATCGGAACTTTTTTATTTAAAAAATACATGTTGTGATTAAACCGTAAACCAACCCAAAATATTGAGACTTAATCGAAGATTTCCCCACTCAACATCAACAAAAGTTGCTAAACCGAAAAGGCTCAAACCCCCATCCCACCCCACCCCTCATGACTCCTCATGTTTTGAAAGAAGATTCAAAATTTAAATTTAAACAGGAAAAATAAGAAATGTTTGGGTTTTTTTATGGAATCAACCCTTGCAAAAAATACTAGATTATATGATAGTAAACATCATAGTCATCAAACTTGTATCATTATTGCAAGATTGAAAATTATTCAAAATTCAGTGTCTTTTTTTTTTTTTTTTTTTACTTTAACAAGCATAGCTATTCATTTACTACGATCAGCTTAGAACCATATGCAAAATAAAAATAGATCACCTACACCTCTTTTTATCCTCCAAAAACATAGTCCGCATGAGTTCCAATTAATGCTAGACCTTTACTACATCTTTCTCCTAAAAAGGTCACTCACCTTAGGCAATGTAAAAAGATTAAATATAGAGAGATAGATGCGAAAGAAAGATACTCATCGTCATAGGCCAATGGCCCACAAAGACATTGGTCCCCTTCCAATCAGAAATGCTTACAACCTCTCTTTCTTGTCTCTTCTTCTGTACTCATTCTCTCTTCATTGCTCCATTGCAACCTCCTCATTCTCAACTTGTCTTCAAATTAACCCTTCGTAGGCCAAAGGCCTAAAACTTACTTAGTTGATTAGTAGAACTCCTTACTAACTGCTTAGTTACTCGATTCCTCTATACCTATTTTATGTGTCACATAATACTCAGTGAGTCAGTGACCACGACTCGTGTGGCCCACTATGGTTGCTGAAATTACAGGATCACTCATAGAGATAAGAGAAGAAGAATTACAGAGAGAAAATGAGGGGGGTCTACTACAGGACTAACAAACAGATTTTTTTCTTCCCTTTTTATCTCTTCTCCATGCCCGTGACTCCATACTATCTCTCTGTCTCTCTGTGTGTATTTTTATGTTTTTTTTTCTTTTTCTTTTTATAAATCTTGATTGGATATTTTCTTGTGTTTCTGGGATAAGCCAACTCATGATAAGTAAAAATCTTGGGATTTGTGTATTCAAATCTTTTCAAATAGAGTACACGTACTATATATGTACCTCTCTGTTTGTGTTCTACACTTCCACTTTCTTGATTGAGCAGAGTCTCTGCCTTCTTTTATGAATTCAAGGTTGATTTTTTATCAAGTTTTGCAAGTTTTAAAAAACTGTTTCTGGGATCCTCTTATTCCATTCCATTACTTATTTTAATCTTGTTTCAATTTTTTATAAGATTCCAAAAAGTCGGCACTTTTTAGGGTTTAGGGGTTTTCTTGCTTTTCTTTATGCCTCTGAAACCAATAGCAAACTCTTTCTCCATTGAATTCAACAATTTCCTTGATCAGGGGAATTGGGTTTTCTGAGTTTCTTCCATTTCATCTCAATTTCTGAAGATTATTACCTTTTTTGGGTTCTTTCATGAATTTTGGGGTGAATTGAGTTTCTTGGAGTCTCAAAAATGTCATCTTGTTTAAGTGGAGGTACAGGAAGAGCTTATGGATTTGATATCGAAAATATTGTGAAATGTCCATCAACAACTTCTAGTAGAACTTCTCATTCATCTTCTCCATCTTCAACTCTCTCTGAATCAAGCAATTCTCCAATAGCAATCTCCAATCGGAAACCACGAACTCCTCGAAAAAGACCCAATCAAACTTACAATGAAGCAGCTGTTCTTCTTTCGATAGCTTGTCCCAAAGTTTTCTCAACTAAAAACCTTACAAAGAAGAACAATAATCTTTCGAAATTCACTAGACAAAATAGCATTTCTATGCATGAGCCACCGGAGTTGCTTTTACCATTTCCAATGATAAAAAACTCCGGTTTCCTCCTTCATCAGCCAATTTTGGAGAAACCCAGTTCAGTGTTTGACTCAAAACTGGCAAGTTCTTGTCTGAGTCCAAGGGAAACCGAATACCGGAATTGTAATTCCGGTTCGAATTCCATGGAATTGTGTGATGGGTTTGAAGATAACTTCGATACAGAGTCGATGCTTGATGAAGAAATTGAAGAGGGGATTGATAGCATCATGGGGAGCTCGAACTCCACAATCCAAAACTACAAATCATCTGATAATTTTTCTCCAAATTCGAAAACTTGTTATGGGTACCCAATGGGGCTCGGATTTGGTGGGAATTTGGAGTTTAATTTTGGTTTCGGAATGAGGAATGGAGTGAGGGCATTGAAGAATGGTGATGATGGGAATTGGTGGAATTTTCCCACGGTGAATGTGGTGAACGTTTCGCCACCTGTGGCGGCAGCAATAGTGGCTCCGGGAAAGGTAAAGAAAGCTCCGGTGGAAAAGAAGAAGAAGAAAATTGAGGAATTGATGAAGAGGTCGGAATCGGATTTGGAGCAGGGGAATTCGAATCAAGGAGAGGAGAATTCCTGTCCTGAAATTGGGTCCAGATTGCTATTGAAATTGAATTACGACGACGTCTTGAATGCTTGGTCTGATAAAGGTTCGCCGTTGCCGGAGGAAATTTCCGGGTCGGAGTCTCCTGGAGGTGACATCCATGTAAGTGCTCTCTTGAAATAACTTCAAATCTAATTCAGATTTTTTACTATATTATTCACACAAAGGTTTTGTAAACTCTCAAATTTATACAGTTTAAATATAATTGTAATTATTATCTTGCATAAATAATTGACGAGGCTTTCATTTACTTGTTATTTTACTCATTTTATTCTTGTTTATTTAGTTTACTGAATCTTAAAATAAAGTCTTTAAAATTGTTTGGATTAATTTATTCAGTATTAAAATAAAATATAATAAACTATTAAACTGATAACCTTTTTATATAATGTCTGGTAAAATATGTTTATATATGTACAAAACAACATCATTACATAATATTAAGTTATTTGTTTTTATGTATAACGATTCATTTTTAATAATTATATTAATATTCTTATATTAAAATATAACATTAAAAATATCCTACAAAATTTTATATTGATAATGTAAATGATATATTCTATACGAATTTTTAACAATAATATTAAAAAATAATAAACGAAACCATCAGTAATATAACATATATCCATATTTAATGTTCAAGTACTTTATATGGCTTGAATTCATTTTAAAGTGCTTTGTGTTTCAAGAAAAATAAAAAATATTTTTTTTCTTTATATATTAAGATAAGAATAGAATTGGTAAATAGATTTTTACAATATGAGTTTTTTTGTAAGTGTTTTCTAAAAGAAAAAACTTTTCAAAAGTAAAAATATATTATGAGAGTTTTTTCAATTCAAAGTTTTTTCATTTCAAATTTTTTTGAGTAAGTAACTCTATTTAAGAGTTTTTTCATTTATTATGTAATAGTTAAGGATTTTGAACCAATTATAACAAGACAACATCTACAAACAATTTATAAAAAATCAAAATAAAAAAGCCTCATATTTTAAAAAGATTAAAAAAATTTAGAAAAAAATAAAAAAGAACTCTATTACTGTGGATTTTTAATATGGATTTTCTAAATAAGTCAATAATAACATATTAAAAATCAATGTTCTAAAAAGTTCGTCATGACGCATAATAATCGTTAGACTTTAACAAAATGTCGTCTTAAATCTCTCTCTCTCACACACACACAGATATATATATATATATATATATATATATATATATATATATATATATATATATATATATATATATATATATATATATACACACACACAAAATTGTCGCCTTAAGCCATGTTTTACAAACGCATGGTTCGCCATGACTTAAAAAAGTTTGAGGTTTGACATTGCCGTCAAACCACGCCTTAAATTATTTAGAACCTTGTTAAAAATTAATTATTTAAACAAATACGCACTTTTAAACTTAGTCTATTCAAAACTTTACAAATAAATAATACAAAAATACAATATATTAATAAATAGAGTTGATTCGTACACAACAATTTTTTTTCTCCATACATAATAAATATTGTATTGTAAAACTCTATAAAACGTTGTGTACATAAATAATTCAGACATCTCCAAACATATAAATCAAATTATATCAAAATAACCTCTTCTTTATAATATTTTATTCAAAGGTTGATAGACGTACATAATCATCTTAATTTTTATAGTATTATTCTAAGATATTCAAACTTAAACATTTTGTTCTACTCTACAAATATTTAATTTTGTATTTATATATATCAAAAGTTGACATTTTGTTCTTAAAAAAAAAAAAAAAAAAAAAAAAAAAAAAAAAAAAACATCTACGCTGATATATCATATGATCAAAATTATGTTCTAATATTTAATTAGGTCTTATTTTGTCTACACTCGTACTTCTAAATATTTAATTCCAAAGTATCACAATGTATTATAATATGAACTTTAATATTAAATTGATATTATCATTCTCACTTATATGTTGTTTGTATCGGCAGGCCAGATTAGCCCAAATAGACCTATTCTCAGAAAATGGTGGATTAAGAGAAGCCTGTGTAATGCGTTACAAAGAGAAAAAACGAACACGCCTTTTCTCCAAAAAAATTAGATACCAAGTCAGAAAGGTCAATGCAGATAGACGGCCTAGATCCAAGGTATGTATAATTTGTTATTCATTTACTCATTTTCTCATTAGTAAAATAATATTTTGGCTGATTAAACTTATAAAATTAGCAGATAAGATAGTGAAATACATGAAATGATATAAAAAGATATATAAAAAATTGATTTTTTTATATTTAATAAAAAATATTTTTTGAAAATATTTTAAAAAAGCTCAAAATTCGTGAAAATGTTTGTCTGGATAGTTTTTTTTTTTTTTTGGAAAATTAACTTATAAATTATATTTTTAGTTTCATAAATATAATGACCTAAACAATTCAAAAAGATATAACACTCCAAACATATCATAGATTGTGTTGCAAATTTGTTTGATGTTTCAATGTTATATAAAGGGTGTTATTATATAGATCATTCACTCAAATAAATTATATAAGGATACACACTCACCCAATCACAAATGGGATACACTAAGCAACTAAGGATACATAAAATTAGCCTATATAAAAACCTTAATATTATTCAAACTATATACTATAAATAAATCATTATTTATATGATTAGATGATGTTTTAAAATTCATTTATGGAATCTCAATATCTCGTTGTCATAGATTAATTGGTTTTGTGGGACTCACAACCCCACAACGAGCAAAAGCAAGGTGCTATTTAATACAATAATAATGATTGATGCATGATGGATAAAGTATAAATTCTCAAGTATGGAACTATGGATAAAGTATAAATACTCTTTCAAGGTCTAAAATAATGATGGCGAAATTATAATGTTATGGAATTTCGGATCAAATTTACTGTTTACAAAAAAAATTGTTGGATATATTACATGCGATGATAAAAAATAAGATTTGTTTGGAAAAAAAATTCATGACAATATAATCATTCAATTTTCAAAATAATTGAATTCATATGTTCTGACTTTATTGTAATGATATATATGTCTAAAAATATTATTTTTTAACATAAAACTAACATAAATCTCAACGCCCTTAAAAGATATAATATTCCAAATGTTAAAGCATTTATAACTAGCCAACAACTCACAACATCAAAAGTACAACCCTTAAAGCATGTGTTACTACTAACCATTTCACAAAAGCACCATTACATTGTTAACTAATATTTCTAGTACTTATATGTGTCTACTTTGTGATTTTACAGGGGCGTTTTGTCAGAAGGCCAAACTCTCCCACTTGTGAGGACACATGACACCAATTTACGACCCTCATCTTTTGTTGATCACTTACTGGGTCCTTTTTTCTTGTCCTTTTTACAATTCCAGATCTTACTTTGCTTTCTTTTTGCGATAATGTAGTCTTCCTTGAAGAGAGGTGAGAGTAGTTAAGAAGAGAAATGGATAGGAATGAGGTAGTAAAGAGAGAATTCCACATTTTTGTAATCTATAATTCAATTGTAAGGTTTGTTCTTTTCATATATATAGAGAAGAAAACGAAATATTAATAATTTAATTCTATACATGAATGTTATAAAATCGGTCATGAACCTTGAATTAAATATATTTATTTGTCGGCTTAGGACTGTTTATGCAAAGTTTCTATCAATTTGGTGTATATATATGTATTGCATACTTAATGTTTGGATTAACGCCATAGTTGGCCCTCTAAGTTCTATCTTATGTTATTTGATGTAAATAACATATAAACTTTTATGTGGTACAACAGAACACCAAATCCCATTTTAAAGTATTCTCTAATCCTACTTCATTTCTTACACTATTTTTGTAATAAATAGTATAACATCTATTTTGGTATTATACTCACTTATATCAAAATTGTGTCAAATTTTCATGTGTAGTTTTAATCCATCAAGTTTTATTTTTATTTATTAACTATGATCAGGTATATTTAAATGTAGTAATTATATAAGATCAAATGATAATTGGTTTGTCATATATTCCATCGAGTATGATGTCTTAAGGGATTCCAATCAAAAGAAATTAAGAATGATGGACTCTTCATCATCCACTATTTAAACACCGGTGAAGACCGGATACTCAACAGGTAAGTTTATTGTTCATCTATCTTATTGTGATTCAATTGTGCTTGTGTAATGTTTGATCCATATGATTGTGGAGTAATGTGGCATGTGGTATCATAATGACTTATAACATCACAAACACAAATCATTTACTCCATGTCTCTTCGAACAATCAAAAGCAAGAAACTTCATCCAACCCTAAACACCCAAACCCTAAATTAGAGACGATGATGAAGAATTTTTCGTTGTATGAGTAAATCAGGTGAAGTTTGAGACTTATTGTATCTTGGCAGGGTAATTTCTGGAGGCTTGTGATGGAATTTCCACAATTGAAGCAGCCGAGATGTTTGCAGCCATGGCAGTTTGTTCCCCTTTGCTATGATTATTAACAAATCTGAATTCGAAGCTGTTTTTTGCATCTATGAAGTGGGCATCGCTAAATTTTTGTTGAATTTGAGAGATGTTAGATCAGATCGTATGATCTAAGTCTCTTTGATGTCTCTTTTGCGTCAGGGAATACCGTCACTATGCGGGCCTGCTGCTAAAAAGGTTTCTATTAATTTATCATTCAAATTTATTGGTTAAAATAAAATACTGTAAATAAATAAATGAAAAAGGTATTACCTTGAATGTTTCTATTTAAATTGGTTAATATTAAAGAAAAAATTGTTGTTGCAGGGTTCGACTGATGTTAATTTGGCAAAGGTATTCATCCAACTCAACCTATTTCTTTTTACTAGGGGTGACAATCCTTGTGGAACATTGATAATTGTTAATTGTTATGCTTATATGTTTGCATTTGTTTTGTACCCTTAAGCACCATGGTCTTGATATGAGAACTGAGGTAAGCTAATTATATCAGTCTTTAGTCATTATGTTATGATGAGTGTTTTGAAATATGTCAGTTATATTATGGATGAGTGGATGCATGCATATAAAGAGGCAATTGACATTAGAGTTGAATTGTGGGCTTGGTTTTGTACCCTATTTTGACTTATTTGAAACCATGGTTTTATACCACATTAGAGCAGATTTGTATTGTATCCTTCAGAAGCACCATGGTTTTGTATCCTATTCTGACTTATTTGAATTTGAAAAAAATTGCAATTTATGTGTTAGATGTTCAAGTTGTTCAATTTTTGCAACACGATTGATGTTTTCCTTTGATTGTGAAACAGGGCTTTAAGCAACCCTCCATATGAGACTCTCTTGTAGTCCAGCCATCGATTTGTTATACCAAATTATTGTTTTTCCCTTGCATCAATTTATATTATATTAATTGTTTGTGGTTTAAAAAATAACATTTGTTTAATATTTGTGCATAAAAAATGTTTGTATATTAAAATAAAGTAATTTAATTAAAAAAATAGAGTGTTAGGTGTGTTACCACTCCCTACCAAATGCTAAGATTAGGTGTTAAATGGAGAAAAATAAGGTGGCAATCAAAAAGATGAAGTGGTAATGTGCTAGGAGTGTTATCACTCCCCTTAGCCTAATGGTATCACATCCAATAACACCAAATATTGGAATAAAATTAACTATGAGAATGGTCAATTTCACAAACCCTAAGAGGGTTAGAAATCGTCCTTTAGAAGGAGGAAGAAGGGAGAAGGCGAAACTTCAAGCCATGGTTCAAAGAAGAATGAAAACCCTAAGGCCTTATTTATAGTATTGAATCCATTCCTAGATTTTGTACTCCATCACATGTGGGACACGGAGCCAAAAAGGAAATTCACTCTTCATCCCATGTGAGATGAAGATTTTTTGTCCAACCCTAGATCCCCATAAGGGTTCTGGAATATTAATGATTAACCAACTATTCATTTATAAATATTCAATCGTTTAATTAATTAAATTGTTTAATTAAGTCCCAAAATATATTTCAATTAGTATCTAATTAATTATTAATAATAATAATTAATAAACCAACTTCTCATTTATTTATTGTACTCAATTTGGGTCTTGATGGCAACCCAAAAAGACTTTGTTATTATTATAAATATTACCAATAGTTAATGACCTTGGACACTCTTTCCAAAAAAAATATAAAGTATAATATTGTTGTTTTATGTGTGTCTAGAATTGATGTTTAGTTGATTATATCAATGGCTCTTCATTTTGCTCTTGTTTATTGCATATCATCTAAAATAACTATGTGTGGTGTCATTCGATGAACCCAATGGATAGTTGTTTGATAATGTATGCAATCATTTATTAAGCCCAAATCCATATACACATTACATTTCTTCCTAAAGGTATTGTATGGTGTTTGTGTAGCATAGTTTTGAATGTTAATCATGTCGGTATATTTGGTTTTTGGTCATAGTCGAGATAGAACTGAGAATTAAATAGGAAACCATCATATGTTTTTTTTGGTGTTGATGATAAGTAACTTTCAATTTCAAACATAACTATTATTGGAATTTATCCCTCAATATAAAAAATCGCTTAGATGAATTCGTCTTATGCTTCCATAACCTCAAACATCCATTTTGTTAGGATCAATTTAGGGTCCAACAATAATCACAAAAGTTATGTGGAAAATAAAAATATGATAATTAGGCAAACTATAAACAATGATTGCAAATGTAACATAGTATAAGATGATATATTAAATTGGAAGATGAACTAATACTATATATTGCATGAAGTGTAGTCTTTAATGTTGGGTGTATTAAAACACGAGTACTAAGAGCCTTTATATAGGCCAACAATAAATGACTGGTCACATCACCATTCTAGGCATGAATTCTAAAAGTATAGACAAAACAATGGAAAATGTACAAAGTACAGTCACGTAATACCTAAACCAAAGATGCCTAAAATAAAAAACACTGACATAGTACATAAGAGAACTTCTTGCATGATCTTGGATTGGGAAAGGAAGATCTTTTGATATTGTTGACTGCTTATGATTTGCTGAAGTGGTGCTGCTGATAAGATCTCCTTATCAGCAGACTCTACATGGTCACTTTTTATGTGTATTATCACATTTTAATTATAAATTATGGTACCAAACATTTTACTGGAAAAAAATTCTCAACATGGAGAAACAAACAATTAAAAGTTTAACTTTGGAATAATATATTAGATAATATATTAAGATATGATCCTCCTACTATAGTAACTGTTACAAGTACTATAAAATATAAATACAATTAGGAATAGTACGTTAATATGAATTGCATGTCACTCATGATTATTAGAAAACTACATATCAATAGATATTTGTGGATCTATTCCAAACTTATACAGTTTGAAAACTACTTTACCTTCATGTATGAACAATTCATGGGAACAATTAAGGTTCATTTAAGTACTTTTATATAGAATAAACTAACTACATATGATAACGCAAGTGGTGTACATGAGCATATCATGATGATCAATGACAAGGTTTACAAACTTAAGTAGATGAAAATAGAGATCATAAAAGGATTTTTAGTCCACTTCATAATGACTTCCTCCGTTGACTTTTTTTATCCCCTTTAATATAAACTATAATATACATAAGGATAAGTTGAAGATGATTGGGTTGATCAACATGTTTGTATAGGAGGAAAAGAATCATAAAATAGAGAAGAACAATGTTACTCATTTTACCACCTTAAATGAATCCAAAATAAAGGATATGAATATCTTTGGAGAGAGTTTGTGTGTTTAGAAAACAAGTACAAGTATAAAACCAATTTTTGGCACTACAAAGATTCTTCATTGTTTCAAGTTTTATCATAAGACGGGACACTTCTAAGGACAATGTCCTAATTTCATAGATTTGATAGCCAAGAAAGTTAACACTTACTTTTTTATGAATTATGATATTTATCTAAATTTTCCTTCAAACATAATGTGGATTGATTTCAGTTCCATAATACATGTTCCTGACTCCTTACATGGATTCCATATAGTTTGGAGGATGGAAAAAAACATAGAACAAATAAACTTGAGAATGATGTGATCTAAGTGTTGAATCCATTTCGTATTGGAAGATGGCTTTTGTATGAGCTTATTCAAAACTATTTATGTACCAATAATTACACAAAATTTGGTAAATGTACCTAAATTAGATAATTATAGATATGATCTAATTCTTAGTAATGCTAAAATTACTATTAGCCTAACTTCTGATGATGTTGGTTTTGGTTGCTCTAAGGAAAACCTATATATTATGCTTTGATGATCAAGTTTAAAATCTATATTATTACATAATAAGTTAAGATTATAAATAAAAGGAAAAGAGACCAGTAAATATTATATGTTTTATGACATTAATTTTTAGGTCATGTATAATACAACTAAATTATAAGACAAAGTAAAGTGTTGCCGATTCTTTATTTAACATATTTTGATACAACTATCCATACATCTAAATGATTCCTATAGTCAAATTTTCCCATAAAATATTGGAAAAAGGTTTTCAATATCATAACTAATTGGTGTAACTTTGGAAATAATACCAAATTCCTTTTCTGGTTGCCCTCT